ATGGATTCAAGTGGTTTCTGGTGGGCACTTTAGGATTTCCCTGACAGTAAGATAGTTAAGTTCATCAAGAACCTGATCCACCACTGGGAAGAGGCAGCATCCTAGGCTCTTGATGAAATCACCCCCAAGCAGCCTGTCTCTTATCAGCTGATCCATGCAGCTCTTTGATTTTCTCCGGGCCTCCAGGAGATGAAGCAGCAAAAGTGATGCCTGGAGTGCAAGTGAAGTACAACTAAGAGTAAATATGACCAAGCATGGGACGTGCCTCAGGCCTACTCTGAGATCAAAAGAGGAGTCTCATTACATGGTAGTAAGCTGATACTCTAAAAAATAAAATCAGCTGTGGTGGCTTCGTTGGATGCCAAAAAAGCCCACAGTGCAAAAAAGGACAAAATATATTACAAGGACACCATTGTTGTATGCGATGTGGCTTGGAATCAACAAAAATTATTTTAAACATGCATTTTGGTGATCTGCAAAAGAACAAGCTTTCTACTTTGATAAACTATTTTTTTCAATTAAAAATATGATTCCCAAAGTACTACTGTTTGCTTCCATGATGGACTTGCATCATTTACAGAAAGATCAAATAAAGGATAAAATCTTTTTTCACTTGTCTTTGGCACTGAAAAAGAACTGTAGAGAAAGACTGATTCTTATATAATATCAGGATGAGAGTAGAATCAGCTAGAAACTTACGAATAGATAGAATAGGCCGTGTTTCTGATCGTTCATAGACATCTGGGAGAACATCACTATCAGAAACTCCAGATGAAGAATCTTCTTCATCATCATTATCATCTTCCTAGAAGAGTAAGACATGATTCTAAATCTCAGAAATAAAGGATTATTGCAGAATTCTGACAAGTAAAAGAATGTTAAGCACTAAATAATAAAAAACCTTTACTAGTTGAAAAAAACAGATCTTTTTAGCTGTGGGTCTTTAACATGCTTAGAGTTTCAGTTCCTTTGTCATACTGAGTATCCAATCCAGTGAGAGAAAAAAATGCTACGTTTTAATGAAATAAATTTTGCAGAACAGTATGGAATTTATTTTAAGGACAGGCACAGGAGCAATATTAAAACTTTCCTACTACGTAACAGTATGACTGGACAGATATCAGATTAAGACATGCCACACACACCTTGTGCTTTTCCATTCTCTTTAAGTGAAGCTGAGCATTTGCTGCAGCCATGGCCTCCATTACAAAAGTTGTGGTCATATAGCTATAGGAGAATGAAAAGATACCAGTTATTTAAAAATAAAAATGAATCACAATATCTCATTCATATGAACACATTCTTTAAAAAGCTCTATTCTGAGGAATTTTCAAGCAATGCTGAATATTGAAAGCAAGATTAGATACAATATGGGCAGCCAACTTTTTTCCAATATGCCATGTATAAAGGAGTGGGACTTTAATTTTTACACCTTGTATCAATAGGGATTTGGAGAACTCAAGTTAGCTTATCCTCCAATTCTTAGTTTCTCTTGACTCTTTGCTTTTCTTCCACCCAGCTTCAGTGCTAGGCCTCAAATGGCAAGGCTTAATAGAATTAGCCTGGCCAAAATATCATAGCACTGGTCTAGGTGAAAAGACACATATGGAAAATGCAACTTTATCTGTTGCATAAATTTGCGGTAGATTCTACTCCATTTTTAGAGAACTACAAAACTGAATTTAAATGATAGGATGGGTATGTTTCATAGATTCTTCATTATACCACTGATTTTGCTATTTAGTCAGATAGCAATTATATCATGGGGATAATAGACAATCACAGGGACAATTCATGAATTTATGCCATTCTGTACTGAAGGGACTTGAACATCAATAGCCAGATTATATGGATATACTGGGACAGGTTTCACACATCATCTTAAGTCATAAAGGTCACATGTTTGGCTGACATAACGTAGGAACTACCAAATACAGTGGGGCAAAAAAGTATTTAGTCAGCCACCAATTGTGCAAGTTCTCCCACTTAGTAGGTATGGTGTTCTTTGGAAGTAGGTATGGTGTTCTTTGGAAGTAGGTATGGTGTTCTTTGGAAGTAGGTATGGTGTTCTTTGGAAGTAGGTATGGTGTTCTTTGGAAGTAGGTATGGTGTTCTTTGGAAGTAGGTATGGTGTTCTTTGGAAGTAGGTATGGTGTTCTTTGGAAGTAGGTATGGTGTTCTTTGGAAGTAGGTATGGTGTTCTTTGGAAGTAGGTATGGTGTTCTTTGGAAGTAGGTATGGTGTTCTTTGGAAGTAGGTATGGTGTTCTTTGGAAGTAGGTATGGTGTTCTTTGGAAGTAGGTATGGTGTTCTTTGGAAGTAGGTATGGTGTTCTTTGGAAGTAGGTATGGTGTTCTTTGGAAGTAGGTATGGTGTTCTTTGGAAGTAGGTATGGTGTTCTTTGGAAGTAGGTATGGTGTTCTTTGGAAGTAGGTATGGTGTTCTTTGGAAGTAGGTATGGTGTTCTTTGGAAGTAGGTATGGTGTTCTTTGGAGAATGTTTTGGTCTAAACTCAACTCGTCGTGTTTGGAGGAGAGTAAGTGGGAGAACTTGCACAATTGGTGGCTGACTAAATACTTTTTTGCCCCACTGTACATCTTAGTATATATAAACCAGGTTACAAGTGTTCTATTAACCATGGTTTGAAAATCCTAACTTAGCATAGTGTGTGAACCAGGTCAGTGGTTCACACAGAATGCTGTTTATTTAGGACTGATAATACTTTCGAAGATCTACTAAGACAATGACTGGGAATAAGTGATCCTTCAATTGTCCATATTCAACATTACAATTTGATTTGTTGCCCTTTGCCCCACTTAAGTGGTTATTTTGCTTCTCATTTTTAGCAGAAATGATTAAAGGATAGAATAATGTAAATCTCAAAAATAATTTTTTGCTGCTTTACAATTTGAACTCATTTACAAAGTTTGAATGAGAAATCAGTTCTGCTAAGATTAATATATAGTAACTCCTTCCAGGGGCTTAGATAATGATTCCGCTAAGAACATCTTACCATATCAAACATAATTCAGGGATATCATGAATCCAGAAGTGCTTACAGAGAAATGAAAGTATCAGGGTAATATTACAGGAAATGTTTCCCACTTGACAGCAGTCAGAAAAATTTCAAGGACAATACAGTACAAATAATTGCAAATTGGAACAGAACCTATCAATACAAACAAATGAACAGGAAGAGAAATCAAAGCACAAGGTAGGGAAACTACAGATAGGCCTTAAGGTTTTAAAATAATCTCTTTTACAAAGCTCAGAAGCAATCTGTAAAGATTTATGCTTTCCATCCAAAAGAACCGGCACTTTTACAGTGCCTCTTCCTTCAATAGTAATTTGTAAGATTAATTCACAAACAACACAGTCTCAACTCAAGGAGAAAGGATACAAATTCAGCTTAAGGCAATACTTTTACAATGGAAGGTAGTGATGTTCACAGTAGAACAATTAAGTGTAGACATTAATTGTAAATAATTAAAGCTAATTAATCTAATTAATTAAACTGATCTTGGTATCCAGCCATTATTTGTGCCCATCATTGATGACCACAGCATATAGAAAGCATTTAAAAGGGAACGAGGTCATTTTCTCTCTCTCTCTTTTTTTTTTTTGGCATAGTAGGAAGCGAGAACAAACTCTTGCATATTCCGTGCATTTTCAAAGCTTATTCAGAGCTATGAAACTGATCCATTCCCAGGAATTCTCTATACTTAACCCAAACATTCAGGGAAGAGGTGAAATCTATTTCTTTATCCTGCACAACATGCAGTCTTTGTCTCCTCACTTTGCTCAGGGGGTGAGCACTGGTGGTGGTGGGGGCGGG